TCTGCAATTCATCAATTTGTCAACAAGTTGTGAGCGACAACCTTGTAGCAAGTTGATAAAATAACAGCATTGTTACAACTTGCCGACAAGCTTGCTACAAGCCTGTTGAGAACATATCTTGTTGACAAGTTGTTGGAACAGCATTGTCACAACTTGTTAACAAGGTTATTAAAAGCCTGTTGAGGAGACATCTTGTTGACAAGTTGTTGGAACAGCCTTGTGACAACTTGTTAACAAGCTTGCTACAAACATGCAGTATTGCAAACACACCTTAATTGTTGACAAGTTGTTGGAACAGCATTACCACAACTTGTTAACAAGCTTGCTACAAGCCTGTCGCGAACATATCATGTTGACAAGTTGTTGGAACAGCATTGTCACAACTTGTTAACAAGTTTGCTACAAGCCTGTCGCGAACATATCTTGTTGTCAGAATGCTTGAACAGCATTGCCACAACTTGTTAACAAGCTTGCTACAAGCCTGTTGCGAACATATCTTGTTGACAAGTTGTTGGAACTGCATTATCACAACTTGTTAACAAACTTGCTACAAGCCTGTTGAGAACACATCTTGTTGAAAAGTTGTTGGAACAGTATTATCACAACTTGCTTGAGATTTTTACTACTGGGATGCATAAACGTAAGCAAGCAAAGATTGAGACAATTGATGATGATGAAGAATGATTATATAATCTCCTGTGATCAGTATTTCCAGTTAGGTAATGACTGACGATCAGTGTATAATTATGGTTTGTTTGTGTGGTATTTGATCAAGGATTATGGATTAAATCTCCCGATTAAGCAGGCAGCAAGTATTATATGTGGAGTCGAAACAGATCTATATATATATATATAGATGAGCTCTCCCAATAATCAGGACTATCGACTCAAAAATGGTGCAATTTTCCGCGCGTAATACTAAAATACTCAAAATTTGCTAATTTCACAGGGCTATATTTTCCGTATTTTACAACCAAATTTGGCAATTGTAGTAATTTAAGGATGTTCTTTTAAGCTATAATGATAGATTTCATCATTTTTTTCTGGATGAGAGTTTAGTCTATAGCTGAATCATCCATTGCTTGAAAGAAGACAGAAATAAAGTACGAAAAGAAATAAAGTATGAAAAGAAATAGAATTGTTGGGGGGGGGGGGCACCATAGAAATAATAGGCCACCCACCCACCACCGAATCACATTTTATTTCCATTTAACTGAGTGCTGTATAAACTAGTTCATATTTTTTCTCTTTTTTATTATATTCATAAACTTTTTAATAACCACTAATCTGCACTAGAAGATACATTGTTCTAAAGGCATGTTTACACACAACAATTAATCGGGCCGATTCAGCTTTACTGTCGATGCAATGGAAGTGTTGATAAAATATTGCATGAATTCATTTCCTCAAGTTGATCAATTCATATGAATTCAAATTTCTTTTTACTTCCTGTGCGTTTCCTATTGGTCAATCGGTTCTGAAACGAAATCTAATTGGCTCATTTAAAAGTAACAGGAAGTTGATCAATTTTCTATCAAATGAATTGATGAACATGAGGAAAGGAATTGGTGCAATATTTTATCAACACTTCCATTGCATCGACAGTAATTAAATTATATTTGAAAAATACGCTGTCAACGTCATCTGATGACATCGTCAACTGACAACATTTGTCATTAACATTTGGCAAAACCTGAAATCGGCCCGATTCATGGTTGTGTGTTAACGTAGCTTAAGGGGCCAACCATTTGACTTTTGAAAGTAGTAAATATGTGGATATAGTTATGATATGGACAAGGCATGCTCTGTCCAAATGATATTTTTCTCAAGATGGCACCCTCCAACCAAAGAATGTGCATGATCTTTAAATTCAGGTGTGAAATAATGCTGATAAATATCACTGTTGTGAGAATATGTAATTTACAATTCAAATGTGTGCATACAATTAATTACTATCCTAAAAACTACCCCAATATAAGTATATAACGACGTACATCACCTAATTTTAAATTCGCCTGATTCCACTAGGTCCTTTCTTAAACTTAATTTTTTAATTGTTTCATATCCTAGTGTTATTAAAAGACTTGATGGCATCATTGTGGCTATCCGTGCAGAGAGACCCTTGCTCAAACCCATTATCCCTTCCTCTCGAATGAGTTCTTTAAACACAGCAACAACAGAGTTGCCTCCTTCAACCTAAAAAAATATTGCAAAGTTATACAAATACTTGAAGTTAAATGAAACCAGAGTGAACTGAGATAAATTTGGCTCGCTTTTGCCGATAACTGAAGAAAGTCGGGTAAGCAAAATGGGATTATATTGGCATTGACACTTGGTGGATATTGCCAGGGGCAAAGCGGTTGTTTTCTTTGCTTTTCGTTTCCGTTACATAGTTTTAGGTATGGATGTTGCCTCTTATTAATCCTAATTGATTTTTTAAATAAATTGCTCCTATATGTGAAGTAATAGAAAAAGCCCTCGAAGGCCCGTTTTGTAAAAATTGTAAATATTTACTGAATTGTAAATGTATTCATTACTAATTAATTTTGTTCTCATATGGAAATTGTAGTACTGTAATCTTACCTTTTTATGTTTGTAAATATTGTAACATTGTGAGGGCCATATGTTACATAACTACACCTCCTGTGACCCTGGTTACAGAGGCTCTTTGCAAGGCAAAATAAACAAGAGGCGAGAAGGAAGAGTCTCTGGAACCTCGCATGTGATTGGCCATTTGTAAAAACATGTCAAACCGGTTTGGGAAATAAACAAGCTAATTATAGCTTTTATAGCTATTGGGATTTGCAACCAATGTGACCAGAGGCTCTTCCTTCTCGCCTCTCGTTTATTTTGCCTCGCAAAGAACCTCTGGAACCAGGGTAGTGCGAACTGCCCCTTGACAAGTAAAATCGTCTGGCATTAGACAGAGTGAATAATCTGGCATTAGGCAGAGTAAAATAATAAAGTAGGGCACATCAGGGTAAACTGGCAATGTTTAATTTTCAAACTGCCATTACCTGTAATCTGGTACGCAACACATCCAGGGGATTGGTTGCCGTGCCCGCAGTGAGCCCAGCTATGGGGCCACAAATTCCTTGCACCACGATAGGCGCCGTACCATCTGGAACCAAATTACCCACAATTCCAAGGTATGAACCATAAGCAGCCCACCAGACGCCGCTCGTCGGACCGTAAGTCATTAACGATATCGCATATCCCTTATAGAACCCCTTGGGTCCTTGATGCTGCCAAATTTCCCTAATAATCATCCCTGCCCCTTTTACTTTGTAATTCTTGGCACATTGACCTTGACCTTGAACCATGAGCTTCTGCGATATGATATCGACAGGCACGGTAACGGTTTGCCCAATGATGGATGCACACGACCCAGCAAAGAAACCGCGTAATGCCAGATTGTATCGTGATGTCTTTTGTCGAACTAACTCGTAGGTGGTGATGTACAATTGTCCAGATAGCACTGAAAAATTACTGACTAAAAAACCTTTATATAAACCACGTATTCCTTCCAATTTTACAATATTCCTGAAGGCATCTATGGTCCCTTTATACATGGCACGCTTCTTCTGGACTTGTAGTCTTGTTTTTATCAAATTCGGCGGGTACAACAAGGCTCGTATGCCACAAAACAACGTAGGACCAAAAATATAAAATTTTCTCTTGTCCAAATGCTGCCATTCTATAATTTTAACCGGTTCTGGCATCGTTTAAATTGCACAAATCCTCGAAGTACAACCCCTACGCGTTTGTTGCATTGAAAAATTGTCCTTGTTTACAAAATACATGTCTTTTTAGGCCAAAACAATGGACATAAACAACGACTGACTACATCATTTTCCAGTTGAATGAGATTTTCGATTACAAAACAAACTAAGAGCAGGAGCACAGATGAGGTAGGTACAGATGTGAATCTTCCGTCAAATTGCTGATTGTTTTGTGTCACACGGAATTCTCACTTCCGGCGAGCGCTGGCAAGTGTCGTTCTGAAATTTAATAAGGAAAGAGATAGGAAAACGCCGTTCGAAAGACAAAAAATTGTTTTTTTAAAAAATCTACGCTACCGGCGGCTATTTTTGGAATTAATTCTTCAAGAGTATCGGTAAGCGATCACTTTTATTGATTTCTTTTTATTAAAAGTGTTAACATAACATTTTATTTAGCAAAAGTTTGTTTTTTTCCCTATCTATTCCTTATTAAAATCGTGAAATACACTTGCTTGGAATTTCAGATGCTCATGTATAATAACAAAACAGCGAATGATATAAATTCCTCAAAACATAACTCTGGCATAAAAAAAACATGAATACTTCTATAATATGTATAGTTTAATTTCTCTGCATTATCAAAATTTAATAAAATAGTGAATTAATACAATTTTAAAGTTTATTTAATCGGTGTGACATAATTTGCCGTGAGATTCACATCTGTATCTACCTCATCTGTGGCAGGAGACTCGACCGAGACCTTGTACTTTGAACTCTTATAAAGGAATTTTATGGAAATGCATTTTGAAGGCCTTTGAAGCAGTTTAAAAAAGAAAACGTGAGATTTCGCCCGATACATCACCAAAAATTACAAAACTAGCGATAAAATTATAAATGCCTGCTATGTTATTTATCAAATTTCGCTCAAGAAAAGTTAGAAAATACAAAATTATTTTCCAATTTAAGGAATTTTTATGCACAACTTCAAGGAATTCATAGCCACGGGAAGTGAGAGCCGCCATGTGGATGATGGGATTTAGTGAGTGAATGAAAACAAAATGGCTGGAAAAGTTGTGAAATTTGTAGCGAAATCTGCAGTTGCAGGAAGTTTAGTTTACGTTACGTTAAGACTGACGCATGGACCATGGAGGGCACCTCCTCATATGGCAACATTTTCAGAGGGTAAAAGTTTTATGGATCACCCACCTATTCCCACCAACCAAGAGGTATAAGTCCTATAACAGATGATTTATGCATATTCAGTAAATAAACATAGTAATGATAACATATTAACATTTTCACAAACTGCCCCCCATAGGCATACCGGGCGGGGGGGGGGGGGGGG